CTGCCGCGACGGGAGGACAAAAGAGGCGCCGCCCCGGGCCCGCCTTCCCGCAGCGCCTCGGCCCCCATGGCAGGTGCAGGCGGGCGCCCCCGGTCCCCATCTCGCGGCCCCCTCCTCGGCCACCCTTGGCTCGGGGAGCTCCGAGGACCCGTCGGTTTGTACGGGGAGGGAGGCAGGGTACAGAGGGACCCCGGGGCTCTGACCCGGTGACCGCCAGTCTGGCGACCCGCGCAGTCGAGGTGCTGGGACGTGGCTGCCCGGCCCGGAGTCGCCCCTCGAGCGTGTACGCAGGAGGGGGCTGCCGCGGACTCAGCCCCGAGCGCCCGGGTCGGCCGAAGGCTATCGGAGCCAGGGAGGCTGGGGGGCCAGGGACGAAACGAGCGGCACAGGCTCCTTTGGCTCCGCGCCTCTGGGATCTCTCGCCCACCCGCGGCGGAGCCGGTCGCTGCGGAGTCCTCCCACAGCCTCAGTCCAGACCCCTTTCCACCCTGCAGGCTCCTTCTTCTCCAGGCCAAAGATGCCCCTGCCTCCACGAGGGCTTCAGGGATTGCTGTCACCAGAGCCACCAGGAGGGGCTGGCCTTCCCTCTCTGGGCTGAGAGTCCCTCACACAGGGCACCCCAGTCCTTCCCCCTAAATATCATATAAAGTAGCCAGGTTATTTGCATGCTGTTAGCATGCCCTATTTCTGCCCCTCTCTTGCCAGCCCAAATCTTTGAGGAGCAGAAGATACCTCTGGAGCCCCCCAGCTTCCTCTTTCTGGCCAGACTAATTTGCCCTGTCTGCAAACCACCTGGCCTCCCAACCTACCTCCTCAGCTGTGCACTCCAGCCCAGCTCCTGGGCAAGATGGGTCCCTATAATGGGAACTGGGGTCTCTGACCTCTGCTAGGGGTCCCAAGAGCAGAGCCTTGAGATAGGGTAGGGTGTGGTAGGGCGTGGTTACTGCTGGTGAGGCCCTATCCTGACTTTGTGCCTAAGGTCAGAGCATCCTAGCACCACACTGGGAGAGCATAGGTCACTGAGCAGCAAGAGTGGAGGCAGAGAAACCCTTCCTGGGTCCTCTGCTTCCCCAGGAACCCAGGGCCTCTGCCAGGGACGGGGCAGCTGCCTCTGGCTCGTGACAACTCCTCCCCCCTCCTCCAGCTCTATTTTAGGCCCTGGAGAAGTGAGAAGGTGATTTCCCCAGAGGCTGACATCAGTGCTGGGAATGGGGTGACTCCCCTCCCCAACTTCCCCCTACTTCAGCCACCTGCCACTCCAGACCCAGATGCTCAGGAAGGCTGAGCCCATTCCTTCACTCTGGAGACTTCTGGGAAACCTCCTCCAGGGTGTGGCATTGAGGGGGCCCCCCGGGAATTAGCACCTACTATGGGATATTCCCTGGAAACCTACAATTACCCAGGAGGGAGGGATTGTGCTCCTCATTTTACAGATGGGGAAACTGAGGCTCTGGGAGGGTACGTGAGCTTCCCGAAATCTCACACTGCTGGTCAGTTAGAAGTGCATCCCATACTCCAGGGTCCCATTCTTCTCTGGCTACCCCTGTCTCCACCTCTGCCTTCTCTCTGGGACCTAGAGGGGACTGGTCCATCAAGTCCATCTATTCCACCCTCCACCCCCCGTTTGGCACACCAGACCCCACCAGGGTGAGTCCACACTGCCCCACCTGTGCCATGTTCCAGGGCCACGTCAGTGAGCTCTGATCCAGCACGACTCCCAAAAGGATAGGTGGAGTTTGTCATTTCATGATGGGGGGCCCCGGGTCTGTGGGAGTCTGGATCCCCTCCCCCAACACGCCCAAGCCCACACAGCGAGCCCAGTCAGAGGCCCAGGCCTCCTTGGCTGAGGCACATTCCTACCACTTCTGTGGCCCTGGTTCCTTGGGTTTCCTGTTGGGGAGACCTTGCAGTGACTCCTCTCTGCTGGCATTCTGGGCCAGCTCCAGTGGAGGCTCAATCATGTGGCCCCTCGGCCCCCAACAGCCCCTTATCTCCCTGGGTTCCCCAGCTCCCAGAAGGCCCAGCTGGACATCCAGACCCTCCCTTGACCACACCCCCCTCCCCAGCCCTACAAGCTGCACTCCTCTCCCAGGCAGGAAGCTTGCTTCAGTTCCCTCTCCTGCCTTCCCTCTTGAGGTCGGGGTGTAGAAACAGCCTCTCCTCAAACTGGGGGCTCCCCGAGGGCAGCCGCTGTCTCTCTCCTCAGACTGGGACTTCACAAGAGTAGCGACTGTCGCCCCCCTCCGACCCCTGATAGCAAGGACTGTTTTCTCCTTAGATGGGGGCTCCTAAGGGCAGGCCTGTGACTCTCCCTCAAACCGGGGGTTCCCTGGGAGAATCTCACCCCAACCCCACAGCTATGGCGGCTCCTTTGGTCGCTTCTGGTGATCTCTTGTTTCTCTCAGGAGGAAGCCTGCGGACTCTGGAAATCAGAGGCTGCTGCCACGCTTCCTGCTATCTTGAGGCCACGCTCAGGGTCACCCCGCTGGGGGAGCCGCTAGGTTCTGGTCCCCAGCCCCAGCGCTCCCTCGGGAACCCCCACCACCAGGAGGCTGAGGCCTCCTTCCCTCTGCAGTTCTTGCCTTTCAGCCAATTCTTCCCTCAGATTTTCCTGCACAGGGGCCAAGACCTAGTCCCAGCAGCTGCAGGTAAGGGAGGGGTGTCGGCTGCCCGGCCCTGGGGGGGTGCGCTGGACGGTGATTCCTGCCAGCGGAGGCTGTCCAGGCCCCGTGCCCAGTCTGCGAGGCCTGCAGCAGAGACCACGCCAGGCAAGGGGGCAGGGTGGCGCGGTGGGTAAGAGCAGGACGCAGGGCTCCAGGCAACCAGCTGCGGCCCAACCCTGGTTAACAGCTGTGTGACCTTGAGCAGGTCCCCCAACCTCTCTGAGCCTCAGTTTCCTCATCGGTGAAGTGGAGGTTAGAAAAGCCCTCCCTCACAGAGCTGCCAGGGGATAAATGGGTGGACAACCTCGAGTGCTCAGGAGCAGTGCCTGGTGCAGAGGGGCTCACTCAGCCTGGGCTCGCACTGTCCCTGTTGCCCTTAAGGTGCAGAGGAGGAAACCAGCTTCCTGGCCCTTGTCAAGGGCCCGCGGGACTCCTTTATGGCTTGGGGGCCTCGGGGCCCCACCTGGAGAGACTATGCTTGGTGACATGATGCTGCAGAGTCGGGGGAACAGAGGGAATGCCCACAGCATTGGGACAGGAAGTTCATTCTGCTTCCTCCCGGATCCCAGCCCAGCGCCCCATCCTTTCCACCGGGAGAGGACCACTCTTGTCATCCGAATATCCCTCCAAGGGAAGCCTCATGCTCCTTCCTCTCGGTTGCAAGCTGAAGGCCTCTCTGAAGCTCTGAGGCCTTGCCTCAGGGAGGAGCTGGAGGCGCCTGGGGTGTGAGAATCCCGAGGACACCCCTCCTTAGAGAGGTTCCTAGTGCACAAATGTAGTCATGCCCCAAGGGTCCAACGTGCTGTAGGGGGTGCAGCACTCACCCACTGTCCTTTCTCTCCCATGCAAGGGATCCTCCCGGAGTTCTGAGAACCGGCTGTCGGAAAGTGGGGCGCCCAGGGACAGGGTGTCTCCCAGAGCCCCTTAGCAGCTTCAAATTTACACTGGAGATGGGGATGCGGGTCTGAGCAGTCACAGGGTGGGAGATTAGTGAAAATAAGCACTAGCGAGGCGTCTCGGAGGGAGGCCTCCTGGGTGTGGGGGTGAGTGGTAATAAGTTAGTTTGTTGGGTGTTCACAGGGTGCCAAGCACCTCACAAACATTCTGATTTAATTCTTGCGATGTCCTAGTGAGGCGGCAACTACTATTACCTCCATTTTTCAGATTAAGAAAACTGAGTTTCAGGGGTTTGCCAAAGGTCACAACGTGGCAGGACCCCGATTTGAGGTCTGTGAGGTCTGAAGGCTTACGCTGCAGGGTTCATGGAGAATATGAAACCTGTGCCTTGAAGAGTGGGGCATTCTTGCTGTCGGTGAGGGACAGTCCAGGTCAGGGACCAAGAGCAAAGACATGGGGCCAGACTGCCCATGGTGGCCCCACAAGTGGCTCAGTGTGGCTGGACGAGGTCTGGGGAGGGAGGCGGCAGGGGAGGACGGTCAGCGGGGAAATGAACAGGAGGACCCGAGACTGGCTGGAGTGGCTGAGAGGGGCAGGCGCTAGAGAACGCAGGAGGGACACATGACAAAGAAGGAAGGGGGAGCCAGTCTCAGACCAGGGACAAGGTCCTGGTAAGTTGGTCTGTGGTGGTAGCAGGACTGGAGGGATACAAGGGATTCACTAGAGGTCATGGTATTTTATTATTGCAAGGAAGGATCCTTGAAATCATCTCATCCAAGCCCCTCACTTCAAGATGAGCAAACTGAGGCCCAGAGTTGTCAAGGGACTCACCCAGTCACACTGAGTTAGGGGTAGCCAGATCTCCTGCCTTCCCACCCAGCCCAGGTGCAGATCAGTACGCAGAGGGGAGTCAGGGGTGAAGCTACCAATTCAGGTCACGTCTGAAAGCAGCAGTGCACAGAGGTGAGAACAAAGGTCCAGGCCTGCGTCTGGGGAGGCGGTGAGGGCGAGGGCTCGTTGGGGCTCTGGGAGGTGAGAGGGGACGTGGTAGAGCAGAGGCTGGAGGGGTGGGGAACCAGGCTATCATGGGGTCACTGGGAGCGCGGAGCCAGGTTTCAAGAAGGTGGAAAAGGAGAACAAGAACCTGACTTTGGTAACTATCAGGTTATCTGGTGACCTTGGAACGGACAATCCCAGTGGACTGCTTTAGGCAGAGCCACCGAGGAGGCTTGGAAGGGGATGTGCAGACCTGGAGGCAGTGGCTGTAGCCCACAGGAAGTAGCCAGAGAATAGAAGGAGGGAGCCTTCTTCAAGCTGCTGAATCGATGCAAGTGTCTTCCAGGACGGAGCTTTTGGGCCGAGGGAAGGAGAGCTGGTGAATGCGAGAGGAGGAAATTGATAAGGCTGGCCGCGGCGCGCTGGAGAGCACAGGGACAGTGAGACTTGGGGAGGAAGGACACTACTTCCTCTGCGAGTCAGATGTTGAAGGGGGACTGAGAGCAGGATGAGGCCTTGCCTGCTGAGTCTGAGGCAAAGTCATCTGATGGGAGGGAGGGAGCGGAAGGAGGTTTGAACTGTCCCCATGTCAAAGAGCCACTGAGGGGCCTAATTTATGTCAAGCAGTACCCGTCTGTCCTGGGTCAGGTTTCAGGTGTTGTGGGTTCCCCTCTAAATGTATATTCTGGAGGCCAGAAGAGACACAGCTGTGAAGAGATGTAGCCTTGAGGATTGACCTGGCTGAGACATGAGGCCCAAGGTCACAATCTTTGAGATGGGAGGGGAAGGTCACACAGCTGGGTGTGAGGCTCTGGGCAGATGATGATGATGACGGCTGTCAGAATCTGGCGCGCGGATCTTTGAGTGAACAGCACATGAGGATATCAGAGAGAGGCCTGTGAAGGCGCGGGGGGACACTTCTCACCCAGAGTGGCAGGGTCACAGGAAAGGCAGTGGGGGACGAGGTACCGCTGTGTCACAAAAGGAAAGTGATACACCCACCAGGGCCCTGAAGGAAGCCGTTGCCTGGGCCCTGGGGAAGGGGAGAGGGCCCCTAGCAGGAACACTCATTAGGGCAAAGCCGTGTCCTTGGGAGTGGGTGATGAGCATGCCCTCTGCAGGTGACCACTCAGTGGGCAGCAGCAGAGCCAAGTGAGTGACCTGAGGGCACTGGACGGAAGCAGCCCTCAGGGGCTAGGCGGGCCAGAGGGTGGTGGCACTCACACAAGCTCTCCACTTGCAGGAGGCTCCCATCCTGCTCTACAGTTATTCTGTCCGAATCTCTGGGCCCCCAGCCCTGCCTTGGGTCACTGGAGGGCAGATCGAGGCCTGACGCACTGCACTCCAGCCCCATCTCTTTGCTATTTGTTATTAACAATTTTATTTACAGTTCCTGAACCAAGCTTAATTGTGAAATTTAACAAGAATGGCATAAAAAGGCCAAACATGACCTCTCTGAGGGTTGTACACACAGTTGCTCTATTTCCAAACTAACAACTCTGGTCCCCACCCGCAGCTAGTCCCCCCTTTCTTCCTCCAAAATGAGACACGGAATAGCACCAGGGTTCTGGTAGCTTCCACATTTAAAGAGACAAACACACAGAGGCAGAGACGGGTGAGAAGAACCACAGGACAAAATGTAATAAGAATCGATAGCAAACCCATCTCTGTCTCCAGATTAATGGCTTGGCTGAAAGAAATGGGGGGAGGTCCTTGGGGAAGGAGGGAGGGAGGGAGGAAAAGGGTGATGCAGAAGTTGGCAGGTGAACCGTTGACCCTGGAACAGCAGAATTCAGGGTGGGCAGCCAGGGCTGAGGCAGGGAAGAGCTGAGAAGGGTCCCCAGAGGGGGCTCTGGCCACATCCTGGGCTCAGGGGAAAGGTCAGCGCTGGGCCCCCACTAAGTGCTGGGGAGGGAGCTCTGTAAGTGCCGCAGCCAAGCCCCTCCTCTGCTTCATATGTTCCTGAGGATCTGGTGCAGGAGCGTGGGGGGCTGGGGGAGGGGGTACACACACACAGGCATTTCGGAAAGCAGGAGAGAGCCACATGCTTGTGGGAAAGGCGGCTGGAGGTGGGGGTGGGGAACACCAACAACTCACCCTCTCCGCTCTGGCAAAGAGGCAAGTGCCTGCGGAGGGACAGGAAGCCAGGCCAGGGCTCCTGCTGCTCCAGCTTCTCTGTGGTCCCTCCTTATGCCAACCTTGCCTCTGCCTCCTGGCGTGGGCAGCCGGCCATGGCTGGACAAGCCCATCCTAGATCGCTGCCTGGTCAGGGACATGGCTGGAGGCAGGGGTAGGAGAGGGCAGCCCCCAGCCCAGACGCTCTTAGTCCTACCTAAAGACTGGGCGGGAGGAGGGGCTCCATCGACCCCACAGAGCTCGGCCATGATGAGAGCCATTCACTTGGACTTCAAAAGCCAGGCCCAGGGCTCCTTTTGGTTCTTTTGGGGAGCCTGGGGCACTGCTGCTCCTATGTCAGCCCTGGCTGGGTATGCAGCACTCAGTGGAGGTATAACTTGCATCTGTGTATCTGGCCCTCGGGTTGGGAGCTGTCTGGCTCCAGAGCTGCGTGCTCAGGGGACTCACAGAAGCAGTCCTCTCCCAGCACTGGGCTGGGGCTGGGAGACAGGGAAGCAGGGTACTGGGAGAGGCTGGGGGGCCCAGAACCATTGGGAGCAGCTGGTTTCCCCACTGGCTGGCAGAGGGTGGGGAAAGAGAGGTAGACTGGCTCTCTGCAGGTCCTTCTGGGGGCTGTGTGCCCACAGCTGAGTGCAGGTGGGCTGACAGCTGGCCTGGAGCTGCAGGGCAGCTGGGGAGCTGGTCAGCCTGCTGGGAGGCAGGGCCAGGGACTGCACACGCAGAATCCTGAGATCCTGGGGGCCAGCCTCCCCCAGGCCAGGGGGCCTGTGTGGCCCAGAACTCGGCTGGCCTATCTGTTGACTGCCAGGGGAAGGCATCTGGGAGGGAGAGGCAGGTCTGTGGGTGGCACAAGGGCAGGGGGGAGGCCGGAGGGCTGGGCTCATGGCCTGAAGGGGGAAGGGATAGGAGATGCCTGCCACCACTTATCCTGGTGCCACAGGGGCTGGGGGCTCTCGGGACGAAGAATGAGGTCTGTGGCCAGGAGATTCCTGGCCTCTTCTCGGCATTGCCACTGGGGAACTGAACCTTCCGCTTGTGGCCAATAAGTTCCCGGTCTAGGCCAGAGGAGAGGGCTGCAAAGCCAGAGCTGGGCTGGAGGTGCTGGCAAGTAGGGCTCCTGGATACTGGTGTCCCTGGGGGGTCCACGACGACATCAGCCGACGCCCCCAGCTCCTGGCAGCTTGCTACTGGTCCGGGTATTTCGCCAGCCTCCACAGGTTCAGCTGGTGCCTTCATGCCACCCACCTTCCCCTCCTGCTCTTGGGCGCCTGGGACCTGGTGGTTGTCTTCCTCCCTCATCCTGGGACATGCTGCCCTGGGATGGGAGGGCTGGCTGGGAGGCGGAGTCTCAGGACACAGAGGGTCACAATCCGAAGCCGGGGAGCCTGGCTGCCTGTGGGGACAGAAACACCCAGTGGGCCACAGGGCTCACTTCCAGAGCAGGTGGCAGGTTGGGATCTTCCCAGGTTGGGGCTGAGGGCAGGGTGGGGGTGGGCATGCATGGTTCTACGCTTTTGGGTCTTGGTGTGCTGAAGAGAGCTGCCCACGCTGGGGCCCTGGGAAAGGCCTACTCGTGGGTCTGACCCTGCAGTAGTGGCCAGCCCTGTTTGCGCCTCTCTTGGCTCTGCGGCCTGTGGTCAGGGTTGGCCAGAGGAACAGGTTAGAAGCTGTTCCATTTAATAGCTCCACAGAGGAGGATGTGTGTGCCCTTTGGCGGCTGGAGAAAGTAGCACAGAACCTGGCCGGCCAAGCTGAGCCCAGGAAGGGAGGCCCGAGGTGGAGACTGGGGGTGAGAGATGAAGCCACAACTTCTTGGTGGGCAGCGTGGGAAAGCTGGGCTCAGAGGGCCCTGGAATTCCACCGAACCCCCTGCTATTCTTCTTTCCGGGGGTAACTTCTAGAAAGACAGAAAGACTTTGCTCTTTACCCACCTGGGAGGGACCCAGGAATCCCCTTCCCCACTTCTAGAAGGCCAGACAGGCACATGACCGGACACATGCCAAGAGCAGCAACTGCTGAACTGCCCACCTGCCCCCACAACTGTGGCAATGCTGGCGCTTTAGGAAGGGAGCCATGCTCTGGTCTGGGCTCAGTCCCTACTGGCTGAAGCTGCAAATGGAAGTCTCCCCACTCCTCCCACCTCTAAACAAACAGGACAGAGAATGGTGGGAAAGAAAGGTGAGGAAAGAGAAAAATGCCACAGCCTGGTCCCTGCTGTCGCCAACCCGAGGGCTCCTTCCCCCCTGAGAGGGCGGCAGCAGGAGAGTGAGAAGGCACGGTGCCCGCCAAGGCATGGAAGACCGCATGGCACTCACCTGGGGAGGCTGGCCTGGAAGGGGATGTCCACAAAGCCGTGGCTGAGCTGGGCGATGATGCAATCAACTTCTGCGTACAGATGGGCTTCCAGGGCAAAGCCCTGGTGCTGGGTGCTCTGCAGATGCTGCCCAGGGGAGAGCAGGCACAGGGGTTAGACAAGGCCGAGGTGGGACGCGAGCAGACTGGCCAGCCACACCAGGGTGGAGAGACTGGTGGGAAAGGCTCTCTCAGAACAGTCGGGGAGCAGCGGCTTAGCGGGGAAGGGCTCACCCCATGGAGCTCCTCGAAGGCCTCTCGGCAGCACTCGCAGTAGCCTCTCTTCCTCCCGGGCGCGGTGCGGGCGGCTGACCGTGGGCTTGGCTCTAGGTCCTTGGGTTCTCTGGGGAGGGTGCAAGGTAGGGGAAAGTGGTCACTGCCGGGGCCCACAGAGGGGGAACTGCTGCTCCAGGACCTGGAGCCCAGGCCAGCAAGAGGATGGACCAAAACAGCCCTGGATTTAGGCAGGCCTGCCTACACTTGGCACCACTCCTCCAAGGATGCAGGAGAGGCAACAAGGAAGACGAGACCTCCCTGTGGGCACCGTCCTAGCTGTCTCTTCCCCGCCCGCACAACTCAAACCACAGGGGAGGACGGGTAGTGGTGGAGCAAGAATCCCTCGTAGGACAATTCCAGCCCTGTGCTCATACCCAAACCCACGTTCATTTGACCTGCAAGGGGAGAGGGAAAAGGCCTCAACAGCAGCGAGGGGACTGTGCTGCCCTCAACCTCCTCCACCTTGAATGTCCCCTCCTCCTGGTTCAGTCTGTCTCCTCCCTCATGCTGACTTGTTCTTGGCACAGCTGCCACCTTAACTGAGGACTTTCAAATCTCTTTCTCAAACCTGACTTCTCTGAATGTCAGTCCTGTATTTCTAACGACCTGTAGGGCACGGCTATTTAACTGTCCGAGCAAACTCAACATGTCCCAAATATTCTCCTCTAAGGACTTTTCTAAGTATGACACAAAAAACAGAAAAAGAGAAAAAAGCCGATAAATTCAAGTACATGCAATTTTTAACATAAGCAGAAACATAAGCAAAGTTAAAAGACAAACCACAAACTGGCGGGAGCTATTTATAACAAAGAACACGCACAAAGGCTCATTCCTCATACCTGAAGGGCTCCTTACAAATCAATAAAAAAGTGATCAACAACTGGACAGAAAAATGGGCCAATGGTATGAAGAAGGTTCCCACAAAGAGATTCAAATGATCAAACATATGAAAACAGATTTCACCTCACTGAGAATGAGAAGAAATGAAAATTGTAATTACACTGAGGTTCAGTTTCCAATCTATGAGTTTGGCGGACGTCAACAAGGCTGACAGCTCACAGTATCAGCCAAGGGTTTGGAGAAATGGGCGCTGGTCCAGCGCGGGTGAGAGTGCACACTGGCATCACCTCCATGAAAAGCAATTTGGCTGCATTTATCAAAATTATAAATGCAGGCACCCTTTGACCTAGCATTTCCACTTTGAGGAATTTATTCTGCAAATATACTTGAACAATCACAAATGTACTCTGAACAGGACTATTCACTGCAACATTGTTTATAATAGTAAAAGACTGGAAATAATCTAAGCATCCATCAATAAGAGACTGGTTAAGTAAACTAGAGTAAATCCATACAGTGGACTACCCTGCAGCCATACACAGGAATGAGGATGCTCTTCAGGCACCAATAGGAGATTAAGACATATTAAGCGGAAAAGGCAAGATTCAGTACAGTGAGTATTATGCTCCTCTTTATGTAAGAAGAGAGAACCAAGGAGACATGATGTACTTCTGTGCACACAGATCTCTGGAGAGAGACCCACGATTGGAGATTGGGGGATGGGTATGGAATACAGATTTTTCACTTTAAACCCTTTGTAACTCCTGAATTTTGAACCAACATATAATAATCATTTTTAAATTAAAAAATTTAAACATTTCCTCTCACGGATTTTCTACACACATACACACACACACCCAGAACCCTGGGCCAACCCCCTATGCTCCTCACATGCGACACCAGAGCTTCATTGCTTCATCATCTTCCCTTTACAAGCTCTCAGCTCCTCGGCGACCCCAAGGCCATCCCAGGCCTAGCAGCACCTCCCTGCCCCAAGCTCGGGCAGCCTCCTGGCTGGCTCTTTCTGGTATCCCTTGCACCTTCTGCGAAAGGTACGAAGGGCACCTGGACTTCAGTTCAGCTCGTTCTCGCCTTCCTCCCCTCTCTGTCTACTGCCACATTCCCTTCCTGGTTTTCCTCCCATCTGCATGATTTTCTGAGCCTGCAGCCTTTGTCTGCTGGTGGAGCCCACAGGCTCTCCTTGGCCCTGGGAACTCTGGGGCTGAGAGTCTGCCCTGTCTTGTTCTCCGGTCTGTGAACTAACCCTGTGGGCCAGAAGTGAGAAACGGACTGAGAAGGCATCTAGTCCACCACCCAAGCCTTATTCCTTCTGCACTTTGGTCAGTGGAGGTTCACATTCTCATACATCTGCAGAGCAGGAATACCAACAAGCCTACAAGCCACTTCGGGTGCCCCAGATCCCCTGCCGCTTATTATTCCTGACATTTAGCTCAAAAGGCCTCAAACTTTGATGTGCGTTGAAATTACACAGGGTACTCGTGAGAATGTAGCTTTTGGGGCTCCATCCTCAGAGACTGTGATTCTGTGGGTGTGGAGTCCAGGAACCTGCATTTTTAAAGGGACCCCAGGGGACTCTGATGAAGGTAGTCTATAGATCTGAGTTTCAGAAACCCGCCTATTGCCCTCTGGATACAAGTCAAATTCTTCGGTAGGGATGGAGAACACCAAATAATACAGATGAGCACTCCTAATGTCTCTCTTCTCTGGGCTAAGTTCCCAGAATAGACTTCGCCTAAGGAGCTAACACATGGCCATTCCAAAATTTGACCAGCAGGCCTGAGAGAGGAAGGACTTTGGCCTGTAACCAGCCCTTGGTACTCAGGAACCAGAAAGACCCACCTGGTATGGTGCGAGCTGCCCAGGGTCGTCGGGGCCTCAAAGGGACTTGCGTCTTTGGGTCCCAGAAAAGAAATTTCAGGAAAGGATTTAAACTGACGGTGGAACGGACGAAACTTCCTGAAACACAGAAAACTTCCACTTTGACTCCTGCGGGGAAGTGAAAGGATGAGATAGGGGCCAGCCCCTAGAATTCCAATCCTGATAAAGTGCACTCTCACCTGCATATCTTTTAAGTTCTAAAACCAAACCCTCATTAGTCTTACAAGGTTAAATGAATACTTATGCTCTCCCTGTCTACTTTTCAAGCCCATTTACACTCACTACCTCATCTGAATCCTATAACCACCCTCTGAGCTGAGTGGAACAAGTGGTGTTGTCCTGTGTTATAGAAGAGGAAATGAAGCCCAAAAGGTTCCGTGACTTGCCCAAGGGCTCACGACTAGTAAGTGGCCAAGACCAGCCCGGAAGCCACGTCTCCCAATTCCTGATTGAGTTCTTCTCACCTTTCCATTTTGTTTCTTGACCCTAAAACAACCTTTGAGGACTCTAGCCTGGCAGAATCTAAAAGGAAGAATGTTTAAACAGTGATTTTCTTGTTCCATGAAGAGAAACATTCCTGCTCTGGGCTGATCCTTTGTACCATCTGAGGGGTAGTGTTCTGAACAGAAAGGAGAGGCACAGTGAAGGTTCTGGATAGTCTGACATGTACTGAGTGGTTTTGGTGGTTTGCCTCAAGTTGCTCACATTCAAGAGACTTTCAGAGCCAAATCTGGTGATGCATGGAGGCTCAGCCAACCCAGCTGATGGAAATGCCAGCACACGGTGTTGAATGCAATGGCCCAGGCTCCAGGGGAGAGTGCAGGCCATGGGTTCCTGGGTGGTACAGAGAGCCCTTGGCTTCAGGAGTGTATTAACAAATGAGTCTTCTTGGACCCTCAAGGAGAAGGAGGTGCCCTTCACAGCCCTGGTACCCTCATTGCTTCCTCCTCAAATGTTGTTTTATTTCTGCTTAGGAGGCTGGCAAGTTGAGGTTGGTAAGGCTATCGGGCTTTGAAGAGCACCTGCTTCAGAACAGCATATAACAAGTGTCACAAGAAACCTCAGCCCCGCATGGATCTCCTCTTGCCTTTGATGCCAGGGGCACACGAATACATGTACCCCCTCCGGGAACTGACATCGCCTTGGCCTGCCATGTGCAGTGAAATACTAAGGCGTCAGTGGTGTTTCAGCCACTGCATACAAGTCATGACTGTATTTAACTGGTTGTGAAGGGCCTAGGGTTAAGGACATGTACCCCAGCCCACTGGAACTGAAGAAGAGGGCACCTCATTACCATCCCTGTGTTCTTTCCACTCACTTTTGGGCCAGCAAAGCCAATTCTGTACTGTGTGCAGGCGCCAAGAATGAACCTAGGATCATCTGGAGGACAGGCAGGCTTGCCAGGCTCCTGGGGCTGGGTCCTTAGCTGCCTTGCCTGAGGCTGAGGGACACAGAGAATTCTGGTCCCAGGAGTCTCTGCTGGGTACATGTGGCCTTTTCTTCTTTAAAAACGTTTTTGAGAGAATTCTAGATTCACATGGACTTTTGATCTAGCACTTACTGAAGAGTCAGTGATCACACGGGTGGCTAAGAGCTCATCAGGTTATCATCAAAGAGACCCTCCTGCTCTAGGTAAGAAGGGGCCCTAATGGCGGACAGAAAGGGCAGAGTGGAGAGGGCACCAGGCAGGACAGCCAGGACACCTGGATTCTAGCCTCAGGCTAAGATTCACTAGCAAAGTGGCTGTGTGCCAGTCCTTTAATTTCTCTGACCTCAATTTCCCCACTAGGAAGAAGATGGACTCTCATGCTATTTTTTACCCAGGGTTGTCATGAGATAACATGTGCCCAAAAAGGGTTTTACACAGCAAAACACAAAGGCTTCATCAAGCACAAGGTGGTCTGATAAGGGAACCCCAATGCCACCTCAAACATCCTTTCTTTAGCCAAGATGACTGTACTAGCACTGTACTGGGGCCAGCAATGATTCGATATTAAGTGTCAGCGTACACCTAGGGGGAAACAAGGACCAGTAACAAGCTTGGAGGGGACATCATGAGCTCATAAAAGCAGAGCATTAAAAGGAGGTAATTCACACACAGGGTCATAAACCTCTGACTCATGACCAAAAGGAGTGCCAACTGTGCAATGCCACCTTCAGCGGCTCCTCGTGGTCTGTGTAACACTTCTCCATGACATGGGGAGAAAGCAGTTTCTGAGGAAGAGGAAGGTGCAGGGCTGAGGGGCTCTATATCCCCCACATCAGCTTGGGGCCCCTAAGCACCTCTGCTCCGTGTGGGCCTGGTAAGGGTGAGGGGAGAGAGAGGAGGCCCCACTCACCTGCTCTCATCTTCAATTTTGAGGAATGGTGCCTTCAGTCTGCCCACTGGAAAGGAAGAGCACACACATCAGCCATCTGTCTGCTCCAGTGCAGGGCCCACACCACACACACAGGAAATGCTCAGAGAGGCAAGGATCTGCCAAAGCCTAAGAGCCTTTCAGAGCTGGAACCCAGGCTGCCCAAGGTGCGCCTTTCCATTTGGCAGAGGTGAGACACCCACTCCCATCTCCTCCGGCCTCTACCCTGGGAGAAAGAGTTCTACTCTTGGCGGGGAGAGGCTGCAGGGTGCCTGGGGTCCCAGGCGTGCCCGCCCTCAGCAGGATAGAGGACTCTCCTGTGTGTAGGTTCTGGAAGCTGTCAACCGACCATTAGAAACCTGGCTGAGAGGGAGAAATCCAGCCCCTGCTGGTTTCTGTTAGAAGCCTCAGGTCCTTCCCAGACCTTCACTCCTGGTGTCTGCATGAGGACCCTGGGTATTTGCGGGGAGAGCAGAGAGGAAGACAACTAAAGAGTGTTTGTTTAGAGATCTTAGCAGAAGGATGGTAAAAAAATATCAAAGGTGAAATCTGGTTCCTGAAAAAACAGGGCAAATGGGCGCTGGGAAGACAGATTTGGAGTCAATTAATCAAGAGATTCATCCCCTACTAACTAGTTATTTGCACAGTTTAAAAAATTTCTTAGGCATTAAGAAGCACTTCCACCTTCCCATGGTGACCGGAAGTCCTGTCAAAGGGGCAGCCAAGGCACTGGAAGCCTGGGCAGAACTAACAGCCACCAAATCCCCAAAGAGGCTGCAGCCTCACAGCTCCCAGACCTGTTTGAGCCTGCTGCCAGCACCCAAGCGAAAAGCAGCCTTTCTCCTTGTGCAGCAGCAGTTCCCATTAATTACTTTTTTGGGGCAATTTCTTGTTTTTCTAATTAACTGAGACAGTGATTAAAATCAATTCCCCCACAGATTTCCTTAAATTTCAAACATGAGAGGTGCCAAGTGACTTTTCTTAGCTCCTGCTTGTGCACGAATAAATGCCACTTAAAGAACATCATTGGGAGAAACATCCAGGGAGAGAAACTCTCCTGCCATTCAAGAGGAGCTGGGAGATGCACCCATCAATCTGCCTGTTTGTCAATTTCAGGGAGTTTGGCATTTCTGAAAGTAGTAGGCAGCTGTCAAACTGCCCACCCCAAATTGCTCCTGAACCAGAAGAAAAAGGATGCTGAACTTCAATCAATGCCCAGGAACAGCCAGAGGATGCAGGAGGCAGAGGGACTGTATGGGATCTTGGCTCTAAAGAGAAGCCCTGGCCCAGCAGCTCTGGACTTGCTTGTGGCTGCCTCTCTCCCGCCGCCCCCCTCTCTGAAGCCCAGGCCCTGGAAACATGAAGAGGAACACAACCTGGACTCACTTCCTGCCGCAGAAAAGTGAGCAGATGCAGCCACAGAGGGAGTCGTGGGGCAGCGTTTAGGGAGGGAGGGATTGCAATTAGATGAGGAAAAGCTACCACACTGACCTTTCCGTGTTCTTGACTCTGCTGGACGTGTTCCCTAAATGGAAAGGGAAAATAGGTTAAGGATGTGAGGGAGCCAGGGGGGTCGAGGTACCAGGCCCAGTGAGCCTAGTTGCTGCAAGTCTGCCCCACTTTGCTTCCTGCTGTCCGCTGGGCCCTGAGCACAATGGCTCCGTCCAGCTCCCCAGGGACATGATGAGTGGTAAGCATTGTGTGTGAATCTCATTGGCAGCTGACTTTGTAGAGGGAATGCAGGATGGAGCAGAGCGCAAGAGCTGTGGAGCCCCATGGGCCTGGGTGGGAACTGGAGCTGTGCTGCCTGTGATGTGAGGAGTTCCCACTTACCTCATCAGATGTGACACAACTGAAATGAAAGTAGGTAAGAGACGCGACGCGGAGTATGTGCTCACTCCATGGCAGCTGGTATTTCCTAGGCACTGCTGTCATTCCAGGTAGCTTACAGGATGAGGGTGAAGACAATGCCTGTGGCTTTCCTGGGCCCTGTCTGTGTACCCTGACTCTGCTGGTCAAACCCAACATTTAAACCAAGGTCAAATAAAGCTAATATTAAAAACTAAATGGAACAAATTAAAAAAATCAGTAAAAGAGTTGGGTGGTGGGGGCAGGATGAGAGATCCAGTGGATCCATGACTGCCTATGCTTCTGGGCCCAAGGAGGTTCGATTCTCCAGGCCACACCTCCAGGGCAAACACAACCCCAAAGAAGCTTTCCACATCCCCTCGCATATTAGCAGACTGCACCCAGACCTCATCCAAAAGACTCCCAAGTATCTACAAAATAGATTAAGTGAACAAAGCAAAGTAAAAATACTGTGCATATGCATAAAAAGGGAGAAGTTTTGACATATCTGCTTGTATATGGAGTCCTGAAAGGATACCTGAGAAACTGTTCACATTGCTTATCTCAGGGAGGGAGCTGGGTGGCTGAGGAACAGAAGTTGGGGGGAGAAAGACTTTCACTGTATACCCTTTTCAATTGTGAGCAATGCAAATCTACTTAGCTGCAGGGAAACCCCAAAGACTCCCAGACCAGAGGGTGAGGAGCGAGGAGCGCCAAGGCCAAGCACTCTGTCTTAGTCTGCTACTACGGTTGGTCCCGCTCTCAGGTGCCAGGCCCTTGGCGGACCTGCAGGGTTTAATCCTTCCTCAGATTCAGGCCCGGTGAAGAGAAGACACCATGGCTTTAAAAATCAGCCCAGGCTCTCTTGATGTGTGGTACACACAGTTTTAACTCCAGAAAAAGAAAGAAAAGCCAAACAAGAATTTGGAAGATGGCAGCTATTTAAAACCACAGCACCCTCCACCCCGACCCATGCAATTTGCAGGCTCATTCCCAGGCCAAGAGCAGTCCCCAGATGGCAGCCTGGCCAGTAGGCCATGAGCATTCACGTTTCATCTAGGCCAGAACTACCCACAGGCAGTCCACAGTCCAGGCCACAGTGAATGCCTCAGCGCACCAAGGAAGATTTGCAGGTAGCATGGGGCAATGCAAGGCTGCGGACACCAAGGATGAGCTGAGAGGCTGTACTCCTTACTTTTTCCAGGACGGCCAGGAAGAGATGGCTTGGGTGGGTCATGGATTTACAAAGCTGTCACAGACCTCAGTGTTTGTAAACCATCCATTTCCCTTCAGTTCAGCAGGATGACCTACCTCTGGCTTCTTTGGCCCTTCTTTCTTCACACACAAAGCATCAAGAGACAGTTGCTGCACATGCACCATCATTTCTGTGGAGAAAACAGAGGGCTGTGGCCAAAAGATCTACTCTTCATTTCATCAGCACAGCCCCTTCCCAGGGCTGGGGACTAAACTTCTCACTCAGCCTGACCCATTGGATCACACCAGCCTTGCCTGCCACCATCTGGCTACATGTCACCTCTGCACCTGCTTATAATAAAAGAAAGGGCTGGCCCTGTGGCGTAGTGCTCTGCTGCTGGCGGCCTGGGTTTGGATCCCGGGCGTGCACCAACGCACCACTTGTTGGGTCGTGCTGTGGCGGCGTCCCATATAAAGTGGAGGAAGATGGGCATAGATGTTAGCCCAGGGCCAGTCTTCCTCAGCAAAAAGAGGAGGATTGGCAACGGATGTTAGCTCAGGGCTGATCTTCCTCACAAAAAAAAAAAAAAAAAAAAGCACTGGGTCCTCTATCCCTGGAAAAGTACGGAAGCTGGCTTCATGCTATTTTATAGCCCCGAACACAAACTCCTGTACAGGAGCTCCCTTATGGCTCACAGAGGGCTTTAAGGCACTACTGAAGAGCGGCTTCTGTCAGGGAGACCATGCCATATGAGTTACTCAGATGTATCCTTAGGTGGAAGACACAGCAAGGGCTACACATGTTGGAGCTTCTCTAACACACAGGAAGGCAGGAAATTAGATCATGTCAGAAACAGCAGATTTTCCAGTGACGATGGAGCCCCCCCACATCACAAACCAGGACCCTCCCGAGCACAGTTCTCTATTGCCCTGGCAGATCTCAGGCTAGATTTGGACCAGCCCCCTTTAATGGATCAGAGAAAACCCCAGACTCAAAGTGGAGCTGGGTACGAGGCCCACCAACTGATTCAGGATAGCTATTCTAGTGTAAATTTATTACAACCTGCAAACAGGTGATTATAGTGTGAGGCAACCCTATAGAAAAGAAAGAACATGAAATTCAGTTGGGTCAAACTAAGTTGGAATATGGGCCACACTATTCACTCCTGGTGAGACTATGGCTAATCTACTTAATCCCTCGGAGGCTCAATTTCCTCATCTGTACAACGTGCAGAGGACTTCGGTGAGGATTAGATGAGGTAATTCCTAGCACAGAACAAATACCTGATAAGTGGTCATGGATACTAGGATTATGTCCTTATGGGTAAAACAGGATCATCATACCAACTTGAGGAGAGCTGTGGTGCGGGTTAAACAAAACAGCACCACCCAGTACCTGCACTCTGCCTGTTACTGCTGCTCTCCACGCCCTCCCACCTTTGTGGATCAACACGGTAACTGAGTAGGTCTGGCTTCCAGCTAGCTTACACAACTATGACCCCTCTGAAAGCGAACACTTCCCGTCCAAGCCACCAGCTCTCCCCTCCACAGGCACCCTGGGCAGAAACAGTACCGTCCACATGCAGAATCCTCACGCCCCACGAGCGGGCATTGGTCAGGAGGCTGCTGCTGCTCCCGCTACCTCCTCCGCTGCTGCTCCCCTGGAAAGATGAAAGGCAGGCGCATGAGACTCCCAAGGCCTGAACACTACGGGACAGGATGTCCTGGCTTCCGGGAGCTCTGGGTCATCCACATAGGGGTATGTTGAGGGGAGGCAGGCAGCGGAGAAAGCACAGCACCTGGAGAGTCTACTCCAACCCCCAGGAAGAAGCCCCCTGTCCTCCACAAGGACGGCCACATCAGGAGGGGAGGGACTGCTGATCCGCGTATATGCTCTGCTCCAGCCACCCTGTGATCAGGAAGGAACACATGCTTATAAGAGAGCTGTTTGTGGGGAGGGTCTCTGAGCTCTCAGCACATAGTAAGTACAAAATAAATACCAGCGACAATCACCATCATAGAGCAGGAAACTATGCTGGCTGCAGACCTTTCCTGCTTGGCTGTCTGAGTCCAGCAATACCATCCTCCCTCATTACAGCCACTGCACTCATCTTGATGTCACTTTAACAACGCCTCTCACAAGATCACCTTAACTCCTCCTCCTGCCACTTAACTTTAATGGCCCTGGATTCTCACAAAAGGGATAAACAGCTACTTGTAAAAGACTACAAAGTTTGGCTTATGTGCAGAGCAGACATGCTCCACAGCATTCCTCCAAGGTTCTCTTGGTAGGCTCTGAAGTTGGAAAGATCAAGGGGTCAAATCCTGGTTCTACCATTTACACCCTGGGTGACTCTGGACTAATTATTTAACTTCTCTGAGACCCACTTCCTCATTTGTAAGAAGGAAATAATGACAATACTGCACATCTCACAGGGTGTGCGATTTGTGTCAGTACTTCAGAAGAGCCTCAGAAGAAAGGCTAAACCCCTCCTTGTGCCAGAGGCGTCCACCTCCAGCCCGTCTCCCTCAGCTCACCTGGTTTCTGATGGCTTTCTGCAGTAGCTCCTTCCCTCTGCTCATAGGCACCTGACAGGGAGAGAAGAGCAATGAGGTATGCTGTGTACAAACAGATGTTTACACAGGAGCTGGCAAGGCTGTCTGGGAGTCATGTCCCTCAGAAAGCTGGCAGCAGTGACAAGTGAGGAGTGGCAGAAATGAGAGCCTAGCAAACTTCTGGAGGTAAAGGTAAAGCCACATAAAAGTTCAGGTCACCCACAGGCAGCTGCAGCCTGGGCAGCCTGGACCCTGGTGGAAAAGGACATTCTGAATTCACCCCAGATAAAAGTGTTACAAATGTTTTAAGACCTCTCTTGGGGCTGGCCCAGTGGCACAGCGGTTAAGTTCACGCACTTTGCTTTGGCGGCCTGGGGTTCACCAGTTTGGATCCTGCGTACGGACATACTCACCGCTCATCAAGCGATGCTGAGGCGGCGTACAGAAGAGCTACAACTCTACCACTATGTACTGGGGCTTTGGGGAGAAAAAAAGAAAAAAAAAAAGAGGAAGATTAGCAACAAATGTTAGCGCAGGGCCAATCTTCCTCAAAAAAAAAAACGACCTCTCTTTAAGAGTCTCTGCACTCTCCAGCAGATAAGCCTGGGCCAATTCCAACAAGCCCTCTCTGGTTAACAGAGGACGCTCTTATTGTTTCTGAACCTCTGACTCTGAAGTCCCATAAAAAGTGAACACTTTTTTTTTTTTTTTTTTTATAATTTGATTTATTTATTTTTCCCCCAAAGCCCCAGTAGATAGTTGCATGTCATAGCTGCACATCCTTCTAGTTGCTGTATGTGGGACGCGGCCTCAGCATGGCCGGACAAGCGGTGCGTCGGTGCGAGCCCAGGATCCGAACCCGGGCCGCCAGCAGCGGAGTGCGCGCACTTAACCGCTAAGCCACGGGGCCGGCCCAAAAAAGTGAACACTTTTATCAAAGGGATAGCATGGTGCTGAGGTGTTTAGATCCAGAGCTATGATAAGATATTTTTAGCCCCTGAATTCAAATGAGAGATTAAATTAAACCACATGAAACTAAAACTAGAGACTGCCTAAAAGGGCTCACTGGGGCTTACTTCCTTTGTGTATAGGAGACACCTTTCCTACCCCACGAGGTTCTTACCGAGTCCACGGGTTTCTGTGAAGGCCTCGAGTGGCCACTTTTTGGATCGGCCAGAGATAGTGTTTCCACTCTGACCTCAGTGGGGCTGGGGCAGCCTCTGTGACTTGTCCCACTGCTCTCCGCCTTTGCTTCCCTGCGGCTGGACACGATGTAACTTACTTCTTTGCTCAGGAAACCCTCAATTACCTGAAACCAGATCACAAAGGTGGCTGAAAATCAAAAGCAAAAGTAAAATCACCAATATCAAGAGGCTGGGGAAGGAAATCTTGGCTGCCAGAAGTTCCAGAATCAATGTCTTTAAATAGACCAACTGCAGTTCTGTACTGGGCCCCCAAGAAGACGTCACCCTGAAATATAATAGGGTTTATATATATAATACAAGGTTTTGTCTCCAGAACTGCTGCTTCTGACCCGGCAGACTTTGAGTTATTTGACCAATTTGAGTTTGCACGGAGCAAGAGCACAATGAAGGGACCAGAGAGGATTAAAAGTAGCTTGGGTAAGCCATGATTTTTCTGTGAAGATACATTGGGACATCCAGACACTGCACCTGTAATCTTGACCACACTACCAAAAGGAACCTAAAATATGAAACAAAAAAGGGTTTTGGCTATTACTCAGCTGCATAGGTATCTGCTCATCTTTCATGGGCACTGAGAGGGTCTGACTCATCTTTGCACCCCAAGAACCAACACAGCACCTGAAACACAATGACACTTAACTCAGGTCTATGGGAAGAAGAAAAGATGGAAAGAAGCAGTGGTGAGCTGGCAAATGCTCAATGACTGACTCTGGGAAAAAACCTGCTTTGTACCATTTGCCAATTTCTATGGGTTAAATACTCCTACTGTGGCTGATCTCAACCTACCAATATGACAGCATCTCTTTCCAATTCCACATTTAGTGACAACAATTGGTTCTCGTGAGCCACTACCAGCCAGCTCCACATACCTCTGAAAATAAGGATGGACGATATCTCTGAAGTGTGACTGAATGAGAAACCTGACACTTAGGTTAAAAAAAAAAAGTTTAGGTTCCTCAAAAAGCTAAACATGGATTATTATACAACCCAGCAATGCCACTGCTAAGTATATCCCCAACAGAACTGAAAACAGGGACTTGACCAGATACTTGTACACCATTGTTCACTGCACCATTATTCACAAAAGCCAAAAATCGAAAACAACCCAAGTGTCCATCAACAGACAAATGGATAAGCAAAATGTGGTCTATCCCTACATTGGAATATTACTCAGTCATTAAAAGAAATGAAGTTCTGATACACAGTACAATATAGATGAACCTTGACAACATTATGCTAAGTGAAATAAGCCAGACACAAAAGGACAAATATCAGCAATTCCAGTGACATGATATATCTAGAATAGGCAAATTCATAGAGATATAAAGTAGATTAGAGTTATGGGGCTGAAGGGAGGGAAATGGGAAGTTATTGCCTAATGGTTACAGAGTTTCTGTTTGGGGTGATAAAAGTTTTGGAAACATAGCAGTGATGTTACACAACAGTGTGAACGTAATTAACGCCAATGAATTGTACACTTAAAAATGGTTAAAATGGTGTATTTTATGTTATATACATTTTACTACATCTGTCTACCTTCTGTAATATGGCAGAAACAAATGCTAGAGTAGGAATGGAGCAATGACTGTTCTATATAAACGTGGTAGATGGTTTAATGGCCACACATTCCTCCCATCTCAACAAACCCACTCCTTTGCAAGGTGACTTTGCTGTTCCTCCCATCAGGAGGTGGAGCCTAATTTTTCCACTCCTTGAATCGGACTCCTTTTGACCAAAAGAATGTGGTGAAAGTAACAGCTGTGAGTTCTAGAGCCAAGGCCTCAAGAGGCCTTGTACCTTCTCCCTTCACCTTCCAGGAAAGCCGCCTGAGACCACCACGTAACTGGCTGGCCCGGCTTACTGTATACACATATGATAGTGTATATAATGTGATGTATATAAGAAGCTTCTCATACAACACATGAGGCCAGATAGAGGCAGCCAGCACCAACTGCCAGATGTGTGAGTCAAGTCATCTTGGTCCTTCCAGCCCAGCTGGCCCTCCAGCTGAATGCAGCTGCAGGAGTGAGGCCTGATGAAACCAGAAGAAAAGCCACTGAGCCAATCCAGAGAATAGTGAGAAATAATAAATTGTTGTTTTAAACCTAAGTTCTAGGGTGGTTTTTTAGACAGCAAAGGCTAAATGACAGAGCAGACTAAAAGTTCAAAACCTAATTTTGGGCCACTTTGGGTGTATAATCCTCATCCTCTCCACCCCCACTGCTGAGTTCCTACATCCCTGAGTTTCTGTTAGCAGACAGCAAAAACCCTCTGCATTCCAAGTCCATTCATGCAGTTTCCCCAGTTACCCAGCTCTTTAGGGCCAAGCACTATCATCCTATTTTCTAAACACAAGAGATACTCATATCAACCCCTTATTAAAAGTACCATATGACAGATGCTTTAATGGACTTTGTTTTTTTTTTTTTTGGTGAGGAAGATTGGCCCTGAGCTAACATCTGTGCCCATGTTCCTGTATTTTGTATGTGGGATGCCGCCTCAGCATGGCTTGATGAGAGGTGCATAGGTCCAAGCCCGGGATCTGAACCTGCGAACCCCAGGCTGCCTAAGGGGAGTGCATGAACTTAAACCACTACACCACCAGGCCAGCCCCTTTAAAGGACTTTTAATGGACTCAAATACAGCAAATACCTTCTACCCAAAGTTCTGCACAACAGTGTTATTTATAAAAGCTAAAATTTAGGAAGAATCTAAATGTCCATAGGGTAACAGTTAAGTAAATTATGGGGCTGGCCCCGTGGCGTAGCGCTTAAGTGCACATGCTCCACTGTGGCGGCCCGGGGTTCGCATCCCGGGCACGCACCATCTCACCACTTGTCAAGCCATGCTGTGGCAGCGTCCCATATAAAGTGGAGGAAGGGCCGGCCCCATGGCTTAGCGGTTGGGTGCGTGCGCTCCGCTGCTGGCGGCCCGGGTTCGGATCCGGGCATGCACCGACACACCGCTTGTCCAGCCATGCTGAGGCGGCATCCCACATGCAGCAACTAGCAGGATGTGCAACTACGACATACAACTGAGTACTGGGGCTTTGGGGAGAGGCGGGGAAAAAGAGGAGGAGGATTGGCAATAGTTGTTGGCTCAGGGCCGGTCTTCCTCAGCAAAAAGAGGAGGACTGGCATGGATGTTAGCTCAGGGTTGATCCTCCTCACACACACAAAAAATAAATAAAAATAAAGTGGAGGAAGATGGACACAGATGTTAGCCCAGGGCCAGTCTTCCTCAGCAAAAAAGAGGAGGATTGGCATGGATGTTAGCTCAGGGCTGATCTTCCTCACAAAAAAAAAAAAAAAGGTTTATACTTAAAATTGCTTTGGAAAATGTTGTGATACCACTGAAAATATCTGGTAGTCACTAATATAACCGTCTCCAGCTCCTGCCTTAACCCCACAAAGGCACATGGTATCACAGGAGAGAAGCAGGTCACATACCCCACCCAGCTGGGGGATGGCCCCTGTCAAAAACTGGAGATTCTTGCCAGCAGGCAGATCCAAGTAGAAGGACTTTCCAGAAAAGGGCTGCCTCCGAGCATCTGGTGAACTCTTCTGGCATTTTCTCAGATAACTGGAAACTCCTAGCTGAACCCCTAGAAAACAACAAAGAGGAATAAGGTGAGAAGTCTGAGGAAAGAGAGAGTCCCGTGACTCAAGCAACCTTCCCTGAGAGCCTCTGTGTGCTGCACCCCGGTGAGGCCCTGAGATGGCTGTGAGACTAGTGTCTACCCTCATGAAGCTCAGATGTGGAGAAACTGGAAGCCTTGTACATTGATGGTGGGAACGAAAAATGGTGCAGCCACTTTAGAAAACAGTTTGGCAGTTCCTCAAAATGTTAAACATAGTTAACACATGACACAGCAGTTCTACTCCTAGGCATATACGCACGAGAAATGAAAACCTATGTCCAGATAAAACTTGCGCAAGAACGTTCACAGCAGTGTTATTCGTTTTAGCCAAAAAGTGGGAACAATTTAAATGGAAATAAAATGTGGTTTATCCATACAATGGAATATTATTTGACAATAAAAAGGAATGAACTACTTATACATGCTACAACAAGGATGAATCTCAAAAACATACTAAGTGAGACAAGCCAGACAAAAAAGACCACATACTGTATGACTGCATTTATATGAAATGTTCACAAAAAGGAGAATATAGAGAGATAGAAATTAGATTGCTTAGGGTTGGAGGTGGGAACAAGGAGTGACTGCAAATGGGCATGAGGTTCCTTTCAGGGTGATAAAAATATTCTAAAATTAGATTGTTGTGTTAGTTGCACAACTCTGTAAATTAACTAGAAATCATTGAAAGTGTACACTTACAAGAAATGAATTTTACAGTTTTATACCTCAATAAAGCTAAAAAAAAATCCTCAATGAATGAACTCTTAAGAATTGTGCATTTAGGGGCCAGCCCTGTAGCGTAGCGATTAAAGTGCACCCACTCTGCTGCTGGCCACCCAGGTTTGGAACCCCGGGCGCGCACCGACGCACTGCTTGTCAGGCCATGCTGTGGTGGCGTCCCATATAAAGTGGAGGAAGATGGGCACAGATGTTAGCCCACGGCCAGTCTTCCTCAGCAAAAAGAGGAGGATTGGCAGATGTTAGCTCAGGGCTGATCTTCCTCACACACAAAAAAAAGAATTGTGCATTTAATTGTATATAAATTTTCCTTCAAAAGGAAAAAACTATAAACGAATACGGAATTCTAGTCAATGAAATGCATGCTGAACTATTTAGAGAGAAAGGTACTAATGTGTACAAAATTACTTGAAACGTATCAAAAATAAGATACATGGGGGCCGGCCCAGTGGCACAAGCGGTTAACTGTGCGCGCTCCACTTTGGCAGCCCGGGGTTTGCGGGTTCGGATCCCGGGTGCACACCGACACACCACTTGTGTGTTGCACGCCATGCTGTGGGGGTGTCCCATATAAAGTAGAGGAAGATAGGCACAGACGTTAGCTCAGGGCCAATCTTCCTCGGCAAAAAAGAGGAGCATCACCATAGGATGTTAGCTCAGGGCTGATCTTCCTCACAAAAAAATAAAAATGAAAAAAAAATAAGATGGATAGATATGTGATAAAGCAAGTATACTAAAATGTCAATGATAAAATGTAAGTGGTATGTCTATGAGTGCTCACTGTAAAATTCTTTTGACTTTGTTGTAGGTTTGAAAACTTTCATATTAACATGTTAAAACTTGAAGAGATAAAAAAGATTCATGAGAAAGTGACAAATACTGAAGATAGGCAAAGAAGTTCTAATATACAGATAATAGTCCCCGAAGACAAAAACTAAAACAAACAAAAAACCCAGAATACTAAAAACTACAATTTAAGAAAACTCTCCTGAAATAAAAAAATATATTTGAAACTAAGATACTGAAAGAGCATGTCATATACTTGAAAAAACTGACCCAGAATAGCCAACACCAAGACATAGTTAGTAAAACTGTTGGACTTTAAATGAGGGGTTTGGACCAGAGATTTTTTTAAACTATCTAAAACTCTGCACGAATTCCTGCATCTCTCCCACTGACTGCCCAGTCAGACTTTCAACTGGACCTCCTCAGCTAACGGCTGCTTGCCCTAATGAGATACCATTTTTTTACTCAGTTTCATATTACTTATTGTCTCTCCTCCTAGTAGTTTAAGCTTCATATTCTTGTTTACTCTTTCAGGGTAAACCTCTGGCCCCCCCGTTAGACTGGGAACTATTTGGGGAAGAGACGCTGTCTTACACATCATTATCATTCCCCCAATGCTTAAACCAGAGCCTGCTCTCCCAACCTCAGCGGGCACCTGACCCTCAAGCACTTACCTTCTGGTCCCATAAAGCTCCGTCTTCCTGAGGGTCCTAGGTATAGAGACAGAAAATACTGGAAAGTCAGCTTGGCATTTCACAGAACAGACTTTTGTTGTGAGTCCTGCCTCTGCCTCTTACTAGCTGTGTAACCCTGGGCAAGTCACAGTCTCACTTAGTATCTCTGAATCTCTTTTCTCACTTCTGAAATAGTGAAAATAAATACCCACCCCCATCGGCAGTCCATATACAGTAAATAAAATACTGTAAATTGTGTCAGATAATGGTATTGGGGAGATATTCAAATACTTAACAGGCACCAACCATTCAGAACGGAAACTGGCCAGAAACATCTGGACTATAACCATACCAGGAGTACCTGCTGAATGTCAGTCCTTGGCATTATTATAACTGTAGCCATTTTGGATCCCTCCCCATGCCAACTTCTCCAGAAGGCTTTCTCCTTCTTCTTTTTTTTTTTCATTGAGGTATAATTGACATACAACGTTATATTAGTTGCAGGTGTACAACTTAATGATTCAATACTTGTACAGAAGCCTTTCTCAGAATTAGCCCTTTTGACTTTCATTTCTAAAAAAGATAATAAACACACAAGGCCTGCTGACTCTCTCCACGGAACCTAAACCTAGGAAAGCCACTGAAGAAATAAGGAATTGGATGGATACCAGAACCAGACACTGGGGGGCTGGCTGAACAGCAAGCCTAGAGTGGCAGAATGCCAGGACTCACAGGTGGGTGACAGATTGGAGAACACTTTCTAGTTGCGCAGAGTGGGTCACTGCCTGCCTGTTGCCAGTGCCAGGTAAGCAGCCCAGAACCGACCAGACGTAGTAGGCTCACAGTAGGGCAGTGTTCGAGCCTTGCTTGGGATGAATATGCACATGTGTGCGGGAAACAGATAACATGGAGTCAAGGGGACAGTGCGCCGGCTGGCACCTGAATGAGGCTCTCTCCTTACCCTCTATCCATTTGGTGAGTTAGGTAATTACAATTCAAGGAGACAACTCTTGAAAATGAATATAGCCATGTGCCACATGAGGACATTTTGGTCAACGATGGACCACATATACAACAGTGATCCCATAAGATTAGTACCATATAGCCTAAGTGTGTAGTAGGACATACCATCTAGGTTTGTGTAAGTGCACTCTATGATGTTCACACAACAACGAAATCGTTTAATGAAGCATGTCTCAGAACATATCCCTGTCATTAAGCGATGCACAACTGCAGTACAAAGCAACGTTCGTGTATTGGAGGGGCACAGAATGTTGCTGCAAATAGGGAGTGACTGAGCCCACAATGGAACCAGGGGCTCTCCACCTTGGGAGATTTTCCTCTTCTATCCAACTCCTAGTCCCTAAACTCAATGTGAGGGGCACAAAATAGGGCCTAAGCTTTTGCATCTTCCTTCCAGGAACACATTACCAATCAGAGTTGCTAACAGTCTCAAGGGAACATTAGCTTATAAGAAAATGAGGCAATTAAAGAAACTAAGTACTATAAAAGATGCTTTCTCTGGTATAGGTTATCTATTTGTCCATAAGTAATGGACCAGACAGAAAAAAGAATTTTAAAGTATAATAAAGATCCTCAAAAAGGCAAGGGAGGATACTGGAAACATAAAACAGGAACAGCAGGTAAAGAAAAGAATTAATTGGAGATAATGGATATGCAAAATATAATAGTTAAAAAAACCTCAAATAATAAAAGATAAATAATCCAATTTAAAAATGAGCAATGGGGGCCAGGCCGGTGGTATAGCGGTTAAGTTCATGTGCTCCACTTTTGCAGCCTGGGGTTCGCAGGTTCAGATCCTAGGTGTGGACCTATATCACTCATCAAGCCATGCTGTGGCGGTGACCCACATACAAAATAGAGGAAGATGGGCACAGATGTTAGCTCAGGGCCAATCTTCCTCACCAAAAATAAATAAATAAATAAAATAAAAATAGACATTTCTCCAAAGAAGACATAAAAATGGCTAATAAGCACAAGAAAAGATGCACAAGATCATTAGCCATCAGGAAAATGCAAATCAAAACCACAAAGAGATACAAATTCACACTCACTAGGATGGCTATAATAAAAAAGAAGTGTTGGTGAGGATGCAGAGAAACTGGAACCCTCCTACTTGGCTGGTGGGAACGTAAAATGGCACAGTCACATTGGAAAACAGTCTGCCAGTTCCTCAAAAGGTTAAATGTAGAGTTACCATATGACCCAGCAATTATACTCCTAGGTATACACTCAAGAAATGAAAACATAGGTCCACATGATAATTTGTAAACAAATGTTCATAGCAGTATTATTCATAATAGCCCAAAAGTGAAAATTCATACACCCATCAACTAATGAATAGATAAATGTGGTATATCCATACAATGGAATGTTACTCAGCAATGAAAACGAATGATGTACTAATATACACTACAACATAGATGAACTATGAAAATGTTACACTAAGTGAAAGAAACCAGTCACAAAAGACTACATATTGTATGATTTCAATGAAATGTTCAGAATAGGCAGCCTATACACAGAAAATAGATTAGTGGCTGTCTAGAGTTTAGGGGCTTAGGGGAACATCAGGAGTGACTGTCAATCAGTATGGGGTTCTTGCTTTGGGATGATCAAAGTTCTAAAATTGATTGTAGTGATAGTTGCACAACTCTGTGAATATACTAAAAGCCACTTGATACAGATGAATTGTGTGGCATATGAATTATATCTCAATAAAACTGCTGTTAAAAAAATTTTTAGGGGCTGGCCCGTGGCCTAGTGGTTAAGTTCGGCACGCTCCGCTTCAGCGGCTCAGGCATGGACCTACACCACTAGTGGGTGGCCTTGCTGTGGTGGTGACCCACATACAAAATAGAGGAAGATGGGCACAGATGTTAGCTCAGCGCAAATCTTCCTCAAGTAAAAAGAGGAATATTGGCAAAAGATGTTAGCTCAGGGCAAATTTTCCTCAAGCAAAAAGAGGAAGATTGGGGCCGGCCCTGTGGCTTGGTGGTTAAGTGCGCGCGCTGCGATGCTGGTGGCCCGGGTTCGGATCCCGGGTGCGCATCGAGGCACCACTTCTCCGTTC